ATGGATGGATGGATGGATGGATGGATGGATGGATGGATGGATGGATGTGGCATCAGGCGTGTCAATTCCTCATGATTCTTGGCTGGATCCTTCCAGCTGGAGCTGCAATCGCCGGCCCGCCAGTCACGAACACCGAGCCATCTGCACCAAGCCACAAAATGGCCGCCAATGGCCCCAACATGCTCCAACCCCCCTCAAAAGCGCCCCATGCATCTCCCTATCAAGGTCTTCCCAAGTCCAGTGGGTTTTCAGCACCTCCACCCACACCATCTAAGCCTTCTCGCTACAGCTCGCCCTGTCTGTGCATGTGTGTATGTGTTTTGTGGCAGCTCCGAGACGCCGCTGCAATCTACCGTCCAAGATGCCAGGCGCACTGGATCGTCGTTGATGGTCGAAGGGTCCTGAGGCCGCATTTTGGGTAGCGACGGCGAAAAGGAGACCTACCACATTCTGAGGAGCTTCACCCACAATTGCTGTTTGGCGTTAAACATTTGGCGATACTAACAGCAGCTCTTGCCACACTACTTGCCGAGCACTTTTGCCAAGCACTTTGCCGCATAAATCCTTGAGTGTTTACGCTTCCGGGGAAATGTCAATACATAGTTGTTTCAGAATAGATGGCACTGGCACCCCTACATGTCCATAAACCACCGAACTTGGGGATGGTGCCATCGATCTACTCTGAAACCATTGCATGCGGTACAATTACACCGTTCTACAGGAGTCTTTCCTCTGCGCTGTTTGGATGAATCTCGACACTGGGATGAGTCAGCTGCCACCATTGTTTCGAACAAAATCGACACAACTTTCCCCCAAGAAAAAAACAGCTAAAGGAAGGGCTGCTCTCCACTTCCAAACACGGACAGTCGAAAAACACTTCCACTTCCAGCCACTTCCAAACGCTCCAGAGAACCCTCGCCCCACGACGACTCCTCGGCGCCTACTCTGTGGCGGGGGATGTCTTCGTCTGCCTGTCACCGAGGCGCGGGATCCTCGGGGTGCAGCTGTGCCCAAGCGTCCACGAAGGTCATGGGCACCTCCCAGTGGCGGCCATAAGCCTCGACGGCGCCGGTGCGCAAGAGCTTCTGGGAGGGCTGGTAGTAGCCAGTGTTCAAGTCACCCATCAGCACCTGGAGTCAGATGCAAAGGATGTGAAGATGAACCAAAAACTTGAGGCAACACAAATGCAGCAAGTAGATGTGGCAGTCTAGACCTGAAGGGAGATGAGTGGCTGGAAAGAACAGTTCAACAACATATTATGTTAGAGAACATATATCAGCCGCTGTTGGGGGTCTAGTCAGGATTCAACCTCCAAAAGGGAACAGCAAAGCAAGCAAACAACAGCATACTACAAATTTTCGTCAGCCAGTCGGCCTGGCAACCATTTGCTTTTTCAAACTGAGGGGACGCCCAACTATATAATTGCAGTTGCGGTATGCGCCAGGATTGGGTCAAGGAAATACATTATACATCAAACCCAACCAAACATCAAATGGTAGGCTGTTTGGATGGTTTCAGCTTCCGCAACCTTGTCTGCACTCCAAGTGCCCTCCGATCCCACTATTTAGATTCAACCTATCTCGAAATCACTACTCTTTTTTTGTTCTCTCTCTCTCTCTCTCGTGATGTGTACGTGTGTACTATTGTGCACTCTTCTGTAGTAGCTTGTCCTTGGTCAAAACTTTTCCACATTCCCTGCTCAGCCGCGTGGCGATGGGATACGGATGCCGCTTCTGTACCTCGCTCAGCGTCCGCGTCACAAAGTCCACGGCCTCCATGATGACGTAGTCCCCACGGCAGCACAACGGATGGGTACCTGTGAGAGTGGACCCTACGGGCCGAGAGCAGAGTGGACTCTACTGGCTGGGCCAATCGGAGCACGGACCCTTCATTAGTAGTTAAGAATTTAAAAAATATATAGAGAGAGAGAGAGAAATGGACATAGAAATGGTACATGCACCTAATTAATCCTGTTTAAAGGTATGATTGTTCAGTTATACATACAGTATATGGACAATTGTAGGTATGTATAATGCTCACATCCAAATAAACAACTACCAGCCAACTATAGACAAACTGTTCCAGTAGCCTGAAAAGAGAGAGAGAGAGAGCAACAAGAAAAAAACAATAACTATATATAAACACTACTTTCTCAGTGAGAGCATACAAATGTTTAGACTCTAGACTAAATACTGTCAATCAACATGTTGCCTTTATCAATCGGTTAAAGATGTTGAACGACCAATCATGTATACACTACTGCCACCCCCAAAAAGAAACTTCTTTGTATTCAAAGGTTGGAATATGTTAGAATTATAAACTGCCAGTCAATTACGGTATACATTATTTAAAGAAAAGAACTTGCAATTCTTTGACAAGCAACAAGAAAAGGGTTTGGCAAAGGGTATCGCTTGCGAATGCCCATGACATGCAAACATAAAAGAGTATGAACGAGTATGAAATACGGTCTCAATAAAACATACATCACGTGAACTGCAAACGTCTCCTATAGGTGGCAATAATACACCAAACTTTCTCCTGTATGATGACAATCCTATTTCTAGATTTGATTATATATATACTTGAGAGGAGGGAGACACGAAAGGTAGGACAGCGGGAAGAGAAGAGAACGCGAGAGGCAGGAACAAAAATGCAATGTTCGACATGGTGATTTATCCCCTCGGAGGCGACCTTTCGTACATATATGTTCATATGCACTTTAAATGTTCAAACATGTGCTCTCGAAATGTTCAAAAAGATTCTTAGGAAAACAAACTTGCCCCATGGCTCAGATCATCGGTGAGCATTGAATCGGAACATCATAGGATTTGAACTATCCTGAAACCATAAGAGGCTCACGAAGACGCTCCCCAGGAGAGAATTGACGTGCTTCACAGAACACCTTTCGTGATTAGAATTTCATATTCACTCTTTCTGAATGTTCAAGAGGGTTTCAACTATCCTGAAATCATGAGAGGCTCACGAAGACGATCTCCAGGAGAGAATTGATTTTAGAGGGGGG